CGGGCCCCGCGCCCCCCCACCCCCCAGCTCTGCCAGCGCCCCTCATTCCCGACCCACAGCCCCCTGCTAACCCAGCTCTGGGCTCCCTCTCCCTCCAGCTCTGCCAGCGCCCCTCATTCCCGACCCACAGCCCCTTGTTAACCCAGCTCTGGGCTCCCGGCTCCCCATCCCCCAGCTCTGCCACCGCCCCTCAGTCCCGACCCACAGCCCCTGCTAACCCAGCTCTGGGCTCCCCCTCCCTCCAGCTCCGCCGACGTCCCTCAATCCCAGCCCTGGGCTTAGCTCCCCCCCCCAAGCTCTGCTGCCACCCCTCACTCCTGACCCACAGCCCCCTGCTCACCCCATACAGGCTGTTCAGATGACGTGTCATGATGGTCAGATACGCAGCCGATTCCCGCAGGTCACGGGTGCGTTTGACGAAGAAGCCATCCACTACCTGGGTGTGGGGGAAGAGAGCATTAGGGAGTGGGGGGCATGGAGAGCCTAGAGCGGGCCTGGGAGGGCGGGGGAGACAGGGCACCTGAGTTCACAGCCTCCTTGAGGTTCGGAAATTTTCTGGCCTTAAACCTGTGCCATTGGGAGGGGGAGCGGACACAGAAGGGCCCCTGCATCCAAGTGCTGGGTTGGGGAGTCCATAGCTGGATGCTGGTGGTTGCCTGATGCCAGGTGCTCTGTGGGAGGCTCAGGAGCTGTACTTGTATGTGGGGGGAGTGCCCTGCTGGGGGGCTGCTGTACCAGGGGGCTGGGCAGGGGTTCCCATACCTGAGTGCTGGTGGCTGCCTGCTGCAGGGTGCTCTCGGGCAGGCTCAGGTGCTGGGTCAATCCTGATTCCTCCAGCAGGTAGATGGGGTGGCACAGCCCACAGCGATGCAGACGGAACTGGGGGGTGGAGTGGGGGGTTAGCGTGGGAGGGAGGCCCACCCTGGTTCCCACCCCATGACTCCATCCAGACAGCCCCCAGATCCCCTCCTCGATCCCCCAGACACCCCACTCCCCCCGCACCTTCTGCTCATGGAAGCGCCCATCGATGATGCTCCCACACAGGTCAGCCATTCGCTTCCGCTCCACCACGTAGTCCAGGGCCAGCTCCCGTGCTGGGGGCAGGTGCAGCTGCCCTGAGGCAAGATGGGGCTTAGGAAGAGAACAGAACCCCCGCCCCCCCACCATCCATGCATGGCCAGAATGAGGCAATCTTGATGCCGTGAGGCTCAGCCCTGCCCGTGGCATAGTTCCCCCCCCCACACACACACACTTGGAGTGGCAGCCAGGGACACCCCCCCCAGTACTCCTACCCTGGGGCCAGGGTGTATCTGCATGCACGGGGCTAGGGTAGTGCCCCACTGAGATGTGTGAGGCGGAGCCACCCTTCAGAGCCATGGGCTCAGGCAGCGCCAGTCACATTCGAGGAGCCCTCCCTCCCTCCCCGCTAGCCTGGGGGCTCCTACCTGGGCGGGGGTGGACCCTCTCACGGGCGACCCACACGAAGTCCCCCACATGCAGCTTGCGAATGTCGAAGGGCACGGCGTTCCGGCGCAGCTCGGCCAGCAGATCCTGCTTCCGGGCTGCTGGGCCACTGCGGGGAGAGATGGGGTGGGACTGGGGCCTGCTCAGGAGCCCTTGCGATGCCAGCCAACCCTCCAGGACACCCTGAGTGACCTCCCCACCTCAGCCCCCAGAGCCCAACCTGCCTGGGACCCCCCCACAATAAACCTCCCTGCTTGGGATGCCGCATAACCCTCTCCCCCAACCCCCCCGGCCAGAAGCTCAGGCCCCCCCAACGCACCCCATGGTCTCGATAAAATCCACACACAGGATGATGTCAAACTGGCCAGGTCTCAGCACAAATTCAGGGTCAGGGGGCCTCTGCCCTCCAGAGCCACCCGCTGCCGCCTCCTGGGGTCCCAGGGTGCCGTCGAGCCTGCAGCAAAGTGGGGCAGACAGCACAGTGAGAACACAGCCATGGAGAGGGGCCAGGAAAGGTGGGGAAGTCCTGACCCAGCCACCCCCCACCCCACCCCGAGCACTGGACTTGGGAAAGCTGGGAGCTTCTGCCACAGCGGTCAGCAAAGAAAGGGTTAACACTGCCTTTGGCTGGGTCTAGAGACACCACAATGAATGTCCCCACTCCTCCCCCCCCCCCCCGCCAGTCCTGACTCCCACCACCCCTGCTCCAACGTGCTAGACCCCACTCCCCCGCAGTGCTGCAGAACTCAGGGGTCCCAGCTCCCAGCCCCGCCCCCCGGCTCTCACAGGCTGTCAGCAGCTGGCACTCACAACTGGGGCTCCGGGCGCAGTTTCTCCTCCCCAGCAGAATGCGTGGGCTCTGTGCCCTGGGGTGTCTTGGATTCTGGGGCTTGACCCTCTGAAATCAGGGCCTGCTCTGCAGCCACAAGCCTCTGGGCTAGCGCCAGCCCCTGCGGTGTCAGAGAGTACCTGCGGGGAGCAAAGGGCATCGGTACCCACTGAGTCCCCTCTGCTGTCCCTGCAGCCTGGCACCTCCCGAGTCTCCTGCCCCTCTCCCCTAGCAAACCTCCAGGC